AGGCAGCAAAGAAAGCAAGGAAAAACAAGCGTCTGGGTTCCAGAACAACTAACGGCCCTCAAGGGTCGAAGATTTTCCCATGCCAAAGACGCAGCAAAGAAAACAAAGAAAAACAAGCGTCTAGGGTCCAGAACAACTGACGGCCCTCAAGGGTCCATGAAGAAAAATCGGGGTAACTTCCACAAGAACCAGAGAGCCTTGTTTTTCTTTGCTTTCTTTGCTGCATCTTTGGCATGGAAAAATGAAAGCCTTATGTTTGGACCTGGTAGGCGGCCGGGGGGTGAACAACCCGTAAGCATGTATCCATCAACGTCACTTGTGTGAAAAATATGTGATATGTATCGCACAGGCGCCTTTTCCCGCTAAAAATATGTTTAAGAAAGAATACCTGGGAAATGTGTGTGTGTGTGTGTGTTTTTTGTCGCACAGGCGCCTTTTCCCGCTTCAATATTGCTCTTCCTCCCACGGTCCACCCCGCACCCCCGTGTTGTTGCTATCTGCCACCATGTTTATTGTCTTCCTAATTTGTTGTCTGTGTGTATCCGCGATGGTGTTTCTGCCTCTCTTGCGCCTCGCACTGTATGCATAGGATGACATCATGAAAACGGCCCCGAGAAGATTCGTGAAACCGCTGGCGCCTCCCGTGGTAGCGGATAGGAGCGAAATGGAGGGGCTCTCGCGGATCAAGGACTTCGAGGTGCGTGAACATGCTGTGTACAGCGGTCGCCATTTCTTTTATTCTTAGTTTTTGGATGTGGTAGTTGCGACGGTGGCGGCGGGGGCGGCGGCGACGGGCGCAGCGTCGTGGGGTATTGTGGCGTAAGCGAAGCACTCACGTGCTCTGTCTTGACCCTTGTTATCGGCTTGTCGTTCCTTGCCGTTGATATCCGGCTGAGGCGGGCGGGCGGGCGGGAGTTTTTATTAGTGCCACGTGGATATATCCGTTAATTGCTTCTGCTTGGTGTTGTCCTTGTCGCCGCCTCTGCTGCCGTTGCCACGTGGATATATGCGTCGTTTGCTTCTGCTTGGGTGCCGTCCCGGCCGCCGCCTATGCTGCCGTGGCCACGTGGATATATCCGTTGAATTGCTTCTGCTTGGTGTCGTCCTGGTCGCCGCCTGTGCTGCTGTTGTTCGATCTTTCCCCCCCGTTCATAAAACGCCAACACCCCGAGCCGACCGCTTCTGCTCCAAACAATCAGGTCGAAGAGGTTGATGTGCTGGCGTCCGAGCACCAGGCGGTCGCCCACCGTCTCGGGCTGTTCTGGTTCAAACCGACGCAGATGTCGGTGCTGGGGAGGAACGAGGAGGACGAGGTTCTCGTCGACAGCTTCGTCTTTGCGTGGAGCTACCTACAGGTCGGTACACCACCGTTCTTGGAGGGGTAGCGGTGGTTGTTTCTGTTGGGAGTTGTTTCTGGTGGGTTCAGCTCTCCTCTCGCGCTCGCCCTGACTCCGACAAGGCTTTTTTGCCGCGTGCAACCTTGCAGCAAGAGATTCCCTCACCGGGAAGCTTCCCGACACTTTTAACCGCACAAAGAAGCGGCTGCACTCCGGCGGCATCGCCCCCTGCCCCCCTGCTGCTGGCAACCGCCCGATTTCCCTGTCAACAACGCAGATCGGTGTGATCACTTCGGTCGCGGGTCTGTCGGCGTATTTCTGGGAGATGTACCTCAGGGGGATCTGCCCATCAGACCTTCTCTGGTCCTCGGAGGAAGGGTACTTCGACGACGGCGCGGAAGATTTCGTGGTGAGAGATGGACCCCAGCAGCGCTACGGACTTTATTTGTCTCTTGTCTTGTCTCTTGGCGGTCTGTTCTGCCTTGATCGTTTTTCTTGCATGGGGCGACGGTTTACGGCCCGGCGGTCGTCGTGCATGCCCCCTCGAGTGTCGGGGCACCCGATTACCCAACACTACGCGGGTCTTACATTGTAGCCTCTTGAGGCCGCCTTTGGTATTGTTCGGCCTTTTGGGGCTCCTTTTGCTCTTTCGTCCCCCTCTTGTCGGAGGATGGATGGTTCCGAACCTTGGCCGTTGTCGCCGCCCGCCGTGTTTCAGTGTGTGTCATCGTGTCGTTTGCGCTCTTTTTATGACCGATTTTTGACCTTTCCCCCCCCCCCCCTCGACCATCATGGCCGTCCGTTTGCGCGAACGACGAATCCGCGAACCAGACGTGTACTGGTCTCGTTCTCACCGATGTCGCTCAGATGGAGACACTGTACAAGGCGCAGAGCGCGTACTTCGTTTCCGTGGTACTGTGCCAGATCGCCACCGCGCACGTGTGCAAGTTCCGGAAAGGGTTGCCGTGGGGCTCGCGCTTCCTCATGTGAGAGATGGAGCCACCTATGTTTGTTTTTGATGTTCATATGCCGTTTTTTGTTTTGTCGTTTTCGCATGTCGACGGCTGGACGCATAGGCTGGTCCACTACAGCAGTGCGCCATGACACATGGTCGGAAGAGGCGTGCGTTGTTGTTACCTCTCCTCGACCTCGAGCTCAGCCTTTGCCTTACAAATCTGACCCTTGTTTCCCGCCACGCTGCCTGCTGTACCTCGTCGCAGCAACAAGAGGACGTACGTGGCGTGCTTCTTCAGTTTTTGTTTTTCGATGTTCGTCATCAACTGTCCGGGGGTGCGCTTCGTCCTGTACGCAAGGCCGTTCAGCGCGATCGTGGCGACGGCTCCGCTTATCGGCGGCTTCTGTATCGTCATCTACGAGGCAGTCAGAAGGTGCGTGCTTGTTGTTAGCTGCAACACGCACGATGCTTGGTGCGTGCGTCTAATTTTTGCAGAACACACGCTGGCGAGCTTGAGCTTGCTCTTGACCCGACCTTCGTGCGCTGTTTGTTTCGTCCCCTTAGTCCGCGTAATTGCGTTTGTTCATTTCATGCAACAGTATAGTACTTAATACTACTTCTATTTTTGTGGGAGTCCCCAGCTCTCTCTCCGAGTTCTCTGCATCGTTCGTTTGCGTTTGAACTCACTGCCTCTGCATCGTTCGTTTGCGTTTGAACTCACTGCCCGCGTCTCACTTGACGACTTCTCGGCCCCCTTTTTCTTCTCTCGCCGTCGTCGGGCGCACTCACACCACCGTACGGGAGCAGAACGCTGTACCCGACGATGGGCTTCGTCCCTCGGAAGCGCCTGAAGGCGGAACGGGAGCGGCTACTGTCGGCAGAGGGTGGCGGCTCGGGTACCGGCGGCGGTAGCGGTGGCGGCGGCGGCGGCGGAGGCGTTATGGATTTCCTGGGAGACCGAAAAGACCCCAAGGTCAGGCTTGAGATACGGATGGTTGAGTAGGGCCGAAGCACCGAAGATTAGGGTGGGGTCAAGGTAAACACAAAATGAACGAAACGGGTAATTCATGCTCCGGAAGGCGGAAGATTGACTTTGGCACGTTTGGGTTGTTTTAATCCGCCTAGTACTGGAAGCCCTAATAGCTAATGGGGACACTTTGGGGACACAGCACTCAAAGGCCTATTTACCGCCCCGCAGCCACCCTAGGCTCCAAGTTTGCTGACTTGGCTTCAGTATGAACATTATGCCCACGTGTGTTGGGGATACTTTTCATGCTGAAGCCGAGTCTCCCTTTCGTCTGGCATGGAGCTCTTATTTTTTGGAGGGACATGCTGAAGCCGAGTCTCCCTTTGTCTGCCAAGGAGCTCTTATTTTTTGGAGGGGCTGTAGCCCCTCCACCAAAGGCTGGCAATTATTTTTGCGACTTTTTTTGATGCGGAGGACTGGGCGCTAGGAGGGTAAAGGTTTCGTACAAGACGGTTGACGAGAAACCCCGAGTAAGTCAAGTGCGCCTTGCCGTCCGCCGGGACACGACACACGATGACACGGACCAGGCAACGCATAGGATCGTGCTTTCAAGGGCGGGGGCCGTGGCGTTTGAGGATCCGACTCTTTGTGTGGGGAAACGCTTCCGGGGGCACATTTTCGCTTCGTACAGCGTCTTGTTTCGCGTTCCCTTCCTCCTGCTGCTTGGCCATTTCGTCGATACCGACAGTGACGCCGACGGCGATAGGCGTTATAATTGGTGTTGTTGTCTAGGTGAATGGTGAGATGCTTATGTATGTTCCGACGGGGTCTGCTGCTCCTCATCGCCCCCCACCTCCTTCTTTGGCTCAAAATGCGCTCTCTCGACCCACCCTTCCCCCCAAACTCGCAACTCGCAGTCGTACCGCCATACAGTCGTCCATGACGTGGAGAAGGGTGGCGTGTCCGCTACACTGTGAAGACGAGGGCCAGGAGCATGCTGCCACCGAGGGGGCTGCCGTGATGGCGCGGAACGCCCAACTTCGACGCGCTCGGTGGTTTCCCCTCGGGGAGAGGCGTCGGGGAATTATTATGTTGAGTGTTTCCCTTGGTTCGGCGGACCTGATACACAACACATGTACGTGTTTGGTTGTGTGTGGAGTTGGTGATGAACGGGTGCCGCTCAACGATACCCGTTGTTTATTAGAGGCATGTTCGTGCGCCCTTTCGTTTTTTCCGCGCGTAGGTGTTTTCATGAACGTTGTTTGATCGCCGTCGTGGGTACACACGCTGGTGTTGCGCACTGGCTTTGGTTCCCAGTCTGGCGCAACGTGGGGACGATCCTCGAGACCCTCGTTTCTCGGTTTTGGATGTATTTGGGTTTTGGATGCATTTGTTCCAGGGACTTGCGGGGTGTGCATACGTGAGTAGGATTTTTTGGGGGGGTCTCACACTTCCCTTTTACCAGGTAGTCTAGGTCGGGCTGCGGTCTGCATCCCTCGTCTGAGTGCGTGCCTCTTCCCCGGGTCGCGAGCTCTGCGTTGTTTGGTTTTTTGCTCTTGTTGTCATCGGTTGATTTGACATCATGTCGTAGTTTTGACGTCGATCCTGGACCTTTCTCGCTTCGTGCTCTTCGAGGCTAAAAACATTATTTCCTCTGTCAGAGGCTAGCAGAAGATACGCTTCAAAACGAAGACCCAGTTAACGGGCGCATATTTGCAGCGAAGCTTCAGTCCGGAAGCAGAACATTTCTGGTTTGCGCGTGGTGCACAAGTATTGGTCGAGATCGGAGCACAAGTCCTTTGTTTGGTGTGGTACGGAGCGCAATTACATTTTTTTGGTGTTTGGTAATGATTTTTTCCTTCACAGTGGTATTTATTAAGTTGTTCGTTTTTTTTTTGTGGGGTAGGGGTTGGAAGACATGGTTATTGAAGGCGGGGAACAAGGAACAAGGAGCCAGAAATTTGCTTGAAAGGGCCCGCCAAGACCGCTTTCACCTCTGATACGTGGACATTTCAACAATATCATATGAAAGGGAAAGCACAGGGGTTGTGCTCGGGTTCGTCGTGTGAGTTGCTGGCATCGATATTTGCAAGGGAATACGAGGCGTGGAAAAAGGTGTTTTCGCTGCCCCTTCTTTTCCCTTCACGCGAACGTGGTTCGCCCATCGAAATTTTGGCGTGATTTTCATGTTTTTTGTTTGTTGATACGCCTACACGAACATGTTCAAGATGACACTCCTCTGTACGTGCCCCCTTCGAGAACATGATCGGACAAAACCGCACCTCAGACCAAGCTATACTGTTCACCGCTCCCGGAAATGCTGCAAACGAATCACGCTGTGTTCACCCCACGATTGAGTACGGTTCACCGCTTCCAGAAGCCAAGACACCCGGCCGATTTCTCTGGCAACCCATACAACACAAAGCATATATTTTAACTCATATAATTTTAACTCATTTATTGTTCGCGTCTGTCGCTTATAGTCTAGGCTGGCGACGGCGTCGTCGTCGTCGTCGTCCGTGTTCCCACGCCTGCGCTTCTTGTTCTGGTCCCCGCCGACCTCGGTCGAAGACTCTCCCGATCCGTTAGCATTCACGTTCGAAGCGTTGGCGGTGTCCGTGTCATCTGGAAGTGTGAACCAATTGCCCTCGATCAAGAAGTCGAGGAGACTGTTGTCGTCGTCGAAAGTGACCTCTCCCGTCGTGTGCTATGTATATTTCGTCGATGCTAACACTTGCGTTGGGAATGAACTCGCCGAGGTCGGCGCCCAGGGAGGAAGAAAAAAGTTCATGGCCGTTTCGTCCGAGCCTCGGGGAGGGAGCCGTTTCGGAGTCAGTCTTGGGTCAGAGCGGCCACCACACTTGGTGGCAACCTCGCAACCGTCGGCGGTGGTATGGCTAGATGGTGGATTTCTGTCGGCAAAATGTTAGGCTCAAAAAGTGGGGAGTGAGTGCGAGGGAAGCCGTTTCCTTCGAATACTATCGATGTACATAGGCTGCGCACCGCCCTGCTTCTCTGTTGCCCGGTGATCTACGTATTATAGCAACTAAGTGTAGACGGGAGTGAACGGGACCGCCGTGTGTGAGACGGTGGCCGTTGACCAGCCGCGACAGCATCTTCACACGAGAGCGAGGCACCCACCCACGGGGAGCGATCCCCGCGGCGCTCCGGTGTAGTGCCAACATGACCTAACCCGAAACCGAAAACAAATCGACGGAGCGCGCGTACGTACATACGTAGCACCATAATATCGTAGCGACCGACACCGGCACGCGCCTTGTCTGTCCTTTCGAGGAACACCCAGGGCCGTGCGTGCCCCTCCAAGCCCACGGAGGGAACCTTGTAGGATAGTTCCCCTTACACAAACCCCGCCTACTCTTGCGGCTCGCTGCCGCAGCAAACGTTTGGCCACCCTGAAACGAGCGTCTTGCTCCCGCCTAGAAGGGCAGCGCCCGCGTAGGTGCTGGAGCGTAGTCCCTGGACGGGGGTGGCGGGGAACGGGGGAGCACGGCGAGGCTCTCACGGGGGGTACGAGGGGTACAACGGCGGACACTCGAGGCTACGCCCACAAACGACGCGCGCAGGGGAAAGAGGAACGTGTCCGATACAGGCGCTGCTGTCGAGCCAAGCACAGCCCGAGACAAGATGACCCATCCAGCTACCCATCCTTATCTACACCAACCGGCATCGTTTGCTCACCTCCACGCACGCCACCTCCCCCATGCCACATCGTCTGAGTCCCGTTTCTGCCGACCTCCGGCACACACGACAGCCGACAGCCAAGGAGTGAATTAATTCAATCGACACGACGGAAATATCAATCCTGTCAGAATGCCCGTCGCTCCCTCGGAAGAAGCCCGCCTCTACCAGCCGTTGCCGCCGACAGCATCATCCTGAACCCTCGCCAGCACAGGGTCCCCCACACCCCCCCCACACCCCACAAGGCCTGTTCGACACACAACATCAACATCAAGAAACACAAAACAAAACAAAACGGTGAACGGTTGCCACACTCGCACGGAGCGGGCCGACGGCGGTGACCAGCGAAAAAGAGCATGCAACCCAGTACTCACTGGAATGAAAATGAAAATGAAAACGCTAGCCCGCCCCTTGCCCCGACACCCCGGAGCTGGATCGCAGTGGGTTGAGCTCATCTGCCCTTGAGAGGTAGTTTCTGGGAGCTGCGTGGACGTTCAGCACAGCGCTCACGAGAATAGGGAGCTGAGTCCATCCCGAGAATCACCCTTGTCCGAAACCCAGAGACGGACCGCAGTCTCGGTAGCCGAACCTCACACCGCCCATCCCCCCGGCCGCGGTGCCGTCGATCCCGACACCCTCAACGTCGAACGAGGCGAAGCCCTCGTGGGCGACGTGGTTGGACACCATGGTGGTCTTTCCTTTACCCGAAGGGGTACCTGAGTAGTTTCACGGCAGGACGAGAGGGGAGCGCGAGGCAGGGGCAGCGTGCCGCGTCTTTGCATTGTGAGCATGTCTAACGCAGACTTTCGCCTCGGCGTACCGCCACCGTCTCGGCAGAGCTGTGGACAGGGACGGGACCACGGAGCTTGGAGGGTCGAGGGTCCAAGCCCATCCCGAAAAAATACTCTTGCCCGAAACCCAAAGCAAGAAAGCAATGTTTCGGCTCGAACACAAGCTTTGGTTCCTTGCCAAAACGAAGCATCGATTCCCTACAAACTAGACGCTTCAAAATGGCACGCGTTTTGTCTTGGGGTTATGCCAAAACGAAGCATCGATTCCCACATAAACTAGACGCTTCAAAATGGCACGCGAGTGCTGTGCCAGAACGAAGCATTGATTCCCTATAAACTAGGCACCTCCGTAAGAGAGCAATGTTTCAGCTCAACCAAACATGAGCTATCTGTTCTTCTTTCTCAAGGCGGCATTATCAGGACCCCGTGTTCATTCTTTAGAGCTCTGGACGAGGACGGGTCCACGGAACGGAGAAGGTCAAGCCCGTCCTGGAAAAGGCTCTGGCCCACATCCCAAAGTAAGAAAGCAATGCTGCAGCTCGGCTGACCATGAGCTGTGCATGTGTTTATACTCGAGAACAAATCTGTAGGACCCGTTTGCCTTCCTCGGAGTCGCGGACCTCCCCCCGCTCCCCTCCACCCCCTTACTCTCACCTTGCCGCCAGGCGTCCTCCCGCTCCATCCGTTGTCCGGAACCGCCAAGTCTCTGAGCTAAAGTAGACCCCCTCGACCCGCCCCCCGCCTTCAAGCCGTCACCCCGCCTCTCGTGTCAGCCAGGAGGTGGATTCCCCCCGCCCGCGGCCCATCCCAAAACGCGGACTCAACCCTTACATTATAGACACGAAAAAACAACGGAGAGCGAGACGGGCACAAGGGTTCGCGTTGGGCCGGAAAACAAAGTGAAACACCACAACGGAGGTGCACCACTGCTGTAGCAAACACACGCCGTTCGAGCGAAGCGACCAACGCCACCACGACTGCTGGCGCCCGGTGACTGAAGCAAGGAAGCCACGTGGGAAAGCGAAATGCTACAGCAGCGATAAGCCCGAGACAACGACACAGCAAAACGCTCTCGAGAAGAAAGGGGGTGGACCGAACAGGTGAAGCGTGATCGAGCACAGCAGTCTCGGGCAGGCGGCGTACGCAATGCCCAGTACAGTAGCCGAGTGCTTCCCCGGACCGCTACAGTAGCACAAGTCTCGATTGCCTGGGAATTCATCGCCATCGCGTGAAACGACGAGAGACACCGCAGGCTTTTTTGGGCGAACAAGGTACCACACACACTAGCGAACGTGTACCGCGCGCAGATTTGTGACACCGTGCTCCACCCATGTTAAGGACGCACGCCAATCAGAACGCAACACCGTCGCAGGTGCAAGCGAAACGACGGTGGACACGACTCACCCCCAAGAGCACGAGCTCTCGGCGACGGCTCTCCTCTCGCCCAGGACAGGACAGGACCACCTCGGACAGCTGGACCCCCCCCCGTCGATTTGAGGAGGATGGAGCACCGCATTAGAGCTTAGGAGCCTGCGGAGAGAAGGGAGAATAAAGATCGAGCGTGGGTGCAAGAGGCGCGGCGCGGGATCCTTTAGTGTACCCATGGCAACAAGCGCGTGCGAACGCTTGCACTGTAGCAGCTATCAATGGTGGACATCGGACGGGGGCAGGGGGTGAGGATTGATTGGTTCGGTTTGGTCCGGTTGGTCCACCGGAGCGGCGTGTCCATGGCAAAGGGACGAAGGACCCCGCAGAATGCATAAATGGATAATAGTGCATAATGAAGGGCAGGCAGGTAAGAGGGCGAGAGAGCGAGAGAGAAAGAGAGAGCGGTGCCAAGTGCGAGAGCTACGAGATCGAGGCACACAAAGAAAGACCAACAACAACAACAACAACAGCAGCAGATGATGGCGCGTGCCGGTTTGAGGAACAACAAACACTGCGAGCGAAGACCACCCCACCACACGGCAGGCTGATGTTTTCCCATCTCCAAACCACAAGGTCGACCATTCTTTTTGTCTTGCTACCGGGGCCAGCACCAGCACCCTCCCAGCCTCGCAACCTCCTAACCCGGGAGATATATATATATAGTTTTTTTTGGGGGGGGGAGGGGAGCGCGGTACCTTGGCTCTCGGCAACGCAGCTGTGCCCGCCTGAGACAACCCGTGATGCATCTTTACGTAGTTGAATCCACACGCGATACCATGACAAGCGGAAAGGGCATGCGCCCTGGCGGCCTGTAAGCCTGCATCATCTACACATGCATGTGTATCGCAGAGGTCTCGGTCTGACGGCACAAGAGCTTCGTGGGCGAGAGCTGAGCTGAGCGACCGCTTGCGCGTTTCGGAGGAGCGAAAGAACGTGAGTCTCCCGAAGATGAGAAAAAGGGGGAGAGCCCCAGCCCCAGCCTGTACATAGGCCATCGGGTACACGCCGGTTCCGTCACTGCTGCCCGACACCCAGAGATGGATCGCAGTGTTGCACTTCAACTCCAGATGGGCCGTGTGTTTCTCTCGAGCGGCAATTTCGAGGACCCGTGTTCATCCCTCAGAATCTTGGACCTCCCCCCTCCTCCCCTCCTTCCCCTCGCTCTCACCTTGCTCCCAGACGTATCCCCGCTCCATCCCATGCCAGGAACGCCGAAACCCCTGAGCTAGACCTCTCGCGCCGGCCCCCCTCCCGCCCCGGAGCGCAAAACAGCAGCCGGCCTTTCAGCCATCACCCCACTCCCTCGAGCCAGCCGGTGGATGTCCCCGCGGCCCAACCCAAAATGCAGGGCCCAGCCCTTGGAGAGGAAAAGCCGCAAAAGCCGAGGCACGCGCGCACAAGGACGTTGGGCGAGACAACGAGGTGACAGGTCAGACCTTGTTCCCCCTTGTTACAAAAAAAAAATCATCGAAGCAAAAACGAGCAAACCGACCCGAGTTGGTCGCGGATTGTGCTGATACTCCGCGGCAAGCAAGCCAGAGCTACTTCCATAGAAACCTAAAGCCTGGAAGCACAGGACGATCACGTACGATGTAACTGAGCACGGCCTGCCCAACCCCAGCGACAGTCGGGTGGTGCGTCCACAGTACCGCCGGCGCGCTAGCGCTGTTGTACAATACTGGGGCGCAAGACACGGTATAACCAAACGCCTCATGACGTCGCGAGCTCGTCGCGGATACACAGCCTTGACGTCTTGCAGCAAGAAGAGTCCTCGGTACGGTACAATGTGGATCGGTGAAAAGCACGTTGCCACCGAGGCTATTGCCGTGATACGTGCGCAGGAAGGAGGAGAGGGGGGGATCCGAAACCTCTGCGACACATTCGTACCCGTAAAACAACCTCCAGGCTACACACGTTGCGGAGGACGCGCAACAGCAGAGCACACCCTCGCTTCCCCCTGTCGTTTCTGTTTTCTTTTTTCAGATTGCCGGGCGCTCGAGACACCTTCTGGGATGAAAACGGGAGAGAAAGCTCACGCATCACCAGCCAACCAAGTCATGTACGGCAGGTTTTTCGGGAGGGGTATGCACTTGATAATCACCCGAATCTATCCCGACCATCTGTGTTGGGCACAACAGTGCAATGTCGACACTGGCTAAGAATCGTTCCACATTGAAGGGGTCTTCCACGATGCAGGTTTTACACAATTACGTCACCCGGGATATCACGCCATCTCTGACGCGTCTCTCTACAAAACCAGTGAAGACATCACACACACCCAGCACCTATATTCGGGGGAAAACGAAATAATTAACAACTCAACATGTTTGTCCGTGCGCCGCGGGTCGATGTCGTCCGTGTGCTCCGGTGCCGCTGCTCCGGTGTCGCTAAGAGTCCGTCCTAGTATGACGACACTCGACCGCTCCGTCCGTACACGCTCTCTTTGCTGTCCTTCCCAGATAATTCCTCGCTTTCTCCCTCGTTGCACTTAAGGTTCTTGGTCTGAAAAACAAAAATTCTCGCGCCGAAGGGGTCAACCAGCCCAATCTTCAGCTCGTCACCACCTGCCCCCTCCTCCTCCTGTGATGGCGAAGCCAGGTTACTGAGACAGTACAACTCCCTCTAGAAACCTAGGGCCGTGTACATAGTGCCCGTCCACCTTTCTGATGGTGTCTTGCCTCCGCGCACAAAAGTGAGATGGGCATTGCTGCCTACACCGATGGCCAAAAAAATAGCCCGCGCATCTGCACTTCTGTGCCTGACCCACCAGTGCCGACCCAACTCCACCACGCGCACGCCTCGCGGCGGATGCACAGCAGCAAGAAGGTATCGGTCCCTTGAGGGTGAGTCTAGCCTTGCTCGCTTGAAATACCCCCCCCCCTCGCTACAGGCCATGTCCAGGCCAAAAGCCTTGGAAAGGCCGCGAGGGGAAGAAGGAAGTTCTGGCCGTGGATGACCGTACGCTCAGAAGATTCAACTGGTTGACCAAGATGTTCTCCTGTGCAGTGCGGTGTTCGGTTATGTGCGTGGACAGGATACGTGAGTGGGGGGAGGGTACGAGTGGGCCTAGAGAGGGAGAGGGGGACACGTGACGTGCGTAGTTTGAGGTTCTTCATCGGCCGTTCCTGGGAACCTTAGTCGCCATACTTAGGGGCGCGTCCTTCTGTACGGAAATAGTACGCTGAAGTAGAAAATTAACCTCACCTCCAGATTTTGAATTTGCCACAAGCCGGTCAGGCAATCGTCCGTCCCGCCCTCAGATTTCCACGCGTCCACAAAGACCGGGCGTATGTTCTGCACCACCAAACATGAAGGTCAAGTCATTTTGGGGTGGCATCTTTTTTTTACATATACAGTGTGTCACTTTGAAGCATAAACAATATATGGAATTTTACTTCAGCCAGGCATTTTATAATATGGGGGTAGTTTGTGCTCTGGAAACGGCCACTTGTATCGTGGTATTTTTTATTTTTCACCGACGCTCATTTTTGAATTATAGTTTCGACATTTGTACTAAAGTTCGTGTGGACCAGTATCCACTTGAGTATGGTATGGCAACTTTTCCAAGCCAGTGATCGTTCCATATGTCTCAACAACCAATCAATATGCCTAGCAACAAGAAAAATAAGAGGGCCGTGAGGAGGGAAGGGGGATCTCAGCGTGTGTCCGACAAAATCGGGGTTTTCAGAACGGACGACATGAAATTCTGCAGCACACATAACTTTATCATCGCCAGTAGCCCGGAGCTCCACCACCTGATGGATTGGGACACGATGTTACCCAGAGGTTTCATGTCAATGTCCCTGCTAAATAGCATAAGAGCGATTGCTCTTTCACAGAAAGTCATTGACGACCGGCACTGGAACCCAGTGCAGCAACAACATCTCATCCGACGCCTTGAGAAACCAGACTTTGTCATCGGAGAGAAAGGACGTGCTATCGTCTGGGCAGCTGTGATTGAATACGAGGCATATGAAGTAGCAACTTGGATGATGGACCATGGTTTTCGGGGGACTGGTGTTGTCCCAGATGATACTTCGGAGTGGGTTTCGTGGGTGACAAAGCAGTTGGAACTCGAGTATCAGGCTGATTTGTTTCTGAATTCGATGGTGACGGACATGAACACCTGTGGATACATTGGACGATCAGCATATAACGTGTCAAATTAAAATATTTTTCGCTGTATAGGAGGCGCGAAGTTAGGCGTCGTAAAGGGGTGATTTGTTCATTCAGGTGGTATGGTTTCGCAGGTTTGTCCTAGGGCACAAATGAACAAAGATAAGGATGATTGCGAAACATGGAAACATATAAAAAAGGCCCCAGCTGCAAGCCTAAAAGGGATCCGAGGCACAACCGCTGGAAAATCCCACTGCATTTACCAGGCACCACCGCCAAGCACCGCAAGCACCGCAGGAACCTCAAACACGATCAATCCCTGCTCTCTCCCGCCTCTCTCACACACACGAACAGCAGTCCCAACGCCAAACTCACGGTCCCTTTCGTTCTATTTCCACACCTTTCCGGTGACCTCGTTTCGGTTCGTTCGATGGGTTCGGCGGCTGGTGGGGGGGGGGGGGGTTGTGCAGGCAGCGAGGGCGTGAAGCAGGATAAACGAGGGGGCAGGAGATTAACAGAGGGCACGGTGAAGGCAAATATGACCCTGAGCACCCAGCAAGATAAAAGCCGAAATCGAAGGTCACCTCGGGGATAGGCTCAGGCAGCTCCCGCAGCCGCCCGGCGTCTCCTCCAACCCGTGCGTGTCTGCGGTAAGATAGGCCGGAGAGATCCACGTATATACACATTTCTCGTCGGTGATGTATCGAACAGTAACGGTGATTTGCACAACGCTAGAATAGTCTACACTTTTAATTCACGGCCACCGTCAATGCAAACAACCACGCGTGGGCTGGTATCGTGCTCGAAAGTACGGGGTGATTTGGGGGGTGTTATCTTTCGTGACTCCTGCATGTTTTGGACCAACAAAGGTGCATGTACATACTCGGCGTGAAAGCAAGCTGTAGCAACGGCGCTCTGCACATACCTAGGTATGGTCAATACCTCTCATTGGGCCCCCCCGCCAATGCGAACAATCAAGCATGGACTCGTGGCCTGGCACGCGAGTGGGGGGTACTTCTGGGGTGGGGTCCCGACGGCAAAATCGGTGGTGTTTTGCTGCGATACAGATGCATGTACATTTCACAACGTGGATGTAACGCACAGGAAAGGTGCTTGTACAACGCTTTAGTCTGTATCTTTCATTCGCGGGCCCCGACAATGCAAACAACCAAGCGTGGGCTGCTAGCCGTGTTCGTGACTACAGCCTTCGTCTGGTTGGATGCACCCTCCGAAAAAGGGTGTTTTTGGGGTCAAACAAGTGTGGTGGAGCTCCAGAATTCTCCGGAACGCAGGGGATCATACCTTATTCCATTGCATCTGACTTATTCCATTGCATCTGACTTTTTTGTAGGCGTCCTGAGCAACTTCATGAAACAACATGAGACAAAGCGTTTGTTCCCACCGTTCGGGAGGCCAAAATATGTCGTGAACTCGGTCTATAGAAGCCGAAATCAAACCATTAGAGATCTCTGACTAGTCTCTAATGGTTTGATTTCGGCTTCTATGAAAGTTAGTCGTGGGGTTCGTGAGCCCCGTCACTTTCACTTCCGAGGAGGGTGACTTCCCTTGCCAGCGCTACTATCCGTCCAATCTTTATTTCGCTTCATGTCACTCGCCACCCACATCCTGCAGAATGTTCAAGGGTCCACGAGTCCTTCCGTCACCCATACTCTGGCCGAGAGTATCCAGGGTCTCAGGAAAAACAAAGTATCCAGCCTGCGTCTCGAACCCACGACTAACTTTTATTGAAACCGAAACCATTAGGCTAGTCGCCTGACTAGCCTAATGGTTTGATTTCGGCTTCTATAGGTCTCACATGCTCCTGCTGTAGACCAGCTCCCAACGGACATTTTTCCGATTTTGAAGCTTCTTATCTGAGTTTTGTCACGAAACCGAGGGATAACACTAATATTAAAGATCCTTGGATCCGAATTGGGTCGTTTCCGAATCCGTTTGATATGTCTGTATAAAAGGTTCCTGGGTTGTGCTGTATGTGTTGGACAATGTCATGACGATGTTGTGCGTGATTCGCTGGGTCACAAGGGCTTTCCTAGAAATTGCTCCGAGAAGACAGGCCCCATCACCAATTCCATCCAAAATATTCCATGCCGATGACGGCGGGGTAGGACGAGGAGGAACAGGAGCTGTGGTGTTCTGCATAGACGTTCAATATCGTCGGGGATAGGAACCAAAGGCCCCACAACTTACTTGCCTCCTGAACAACAGTTGATTCTTTCTTCTGCCCATGTCCAAGCGCTGCAGTGCCTGCAACGCTGGTTTCTTTCATGGCGAATGCTACTGGCTCGAAAGACGTACTCAACAGGCAAGCGAATGGAAAGGTCCCCAAAAGCGACAGCACCCAGGCGACGACCATCGGACGTGATGTTGTCTTGGAAGTATATTCTCCCGTACAAACGGAAAAACACGCAACAATGCCGGTCTAACGTCCACAAGAAGCGGACGTATCAACAACAGCGAACTGTACCCCTCTCGTTCTAACGGAGGATACGCAACAATGCCCGTCTAACGCCCACAAGAAGCGGACGTATCAACAACAGAGAAATATATTCTCCCGCACAAACGGAAAAATACGCAACAATGCCAGTCAAACGTCCACAAGAAGCGGACGTATCAACAACAGCGAACTGTATTCCTCTCGCACAAACGGAGGATACGCGACAATGCCGGTCTAACGCCTTCAAAAAGCGGACGTATCAACAACAGCGAAATACACAAACTCTCAAGAGTCAGATTCTTCGAGAAGCTCGTCGTCCGAGTCCGGGGCGAGCGCCGCGAAGCTGACCGTCGCTTCGACGCGGGAGCGCTTCTCAGCCTGCTTGCTCTGCGTGCCCTGTTGCTTCTTCTGATACTTCGCACGCCTCTCGTCTTGTTCCTTGTATATGGCGCGGATTAGGTCCTTGCGGTTGGCGCGCGCGCAGGTGTAGTGGACTACCTGCCCGAGCGGGGCAGTACCCAGCAGGAAATCCCCTTCTTGGAATACGGGACCGTCGGGGGCGGTGCAAACGGGCGAAATGCAGTCCTTTCCCACCTTTCACAAACGATCGGGCAACGAAAAATCGGGGGGTGGGGGGGGTGGGGAGGGTAATCAGACGAAAGGAGGACCACACTATAACACAAATGGCAGAAGGACAGTGGGTTATGCTTTCTGAAATAAGTGGCTGTGTGGCGTGATAGGAGCACTTCGTTAATTAACAGCAGCAGTTTGTCGTGGTTCCTTAGAAAAAAAACTTGTGCATGTCGCAGTTATTAAGGCCTTAATTTTGTAGCGGAGATGCGGAGAGGAAAGGAGAACAAAAATAGGAAGGTAAAGAACATATTTCAGAAGTAGTATTTGGAAAAAAATAATAATACAACAAACACAATTAATAAGAAGAAAACACGTAATACACTAAACAGTAAACAGAAGTAGTATAATTTACAAACGTATCCATCCATTGTCTGTTTGCGCTAGCCAAAAAGGTGAAGAAAATCCAAGCATGAATCGGTGCTCACGTCTCTGCTCAGGGCCTTGGACGCGAAGGCAGAGACCTCCGTCCCAGGGGCCTTGTCCATAAAAAAATTCCGGTGATGGACGTTGTGGTACGCTGTTGATCCACGGAAGAAAGAGAGCGGGGACAGGCAGCAGGAACAAAAAGCATCTGCACGATCTATAGTTAGTGGCAATGTGGTATGCCTATCATTTAATTACTGCGGGATAGTTGTCAACGATGTAGAGTTTGGGATGAAATGAAGCCTTCGGCTACGGCACGGGATCCACCCATACTTTGCCTTTTAGCTATTCATGCTGTGTCGGTGCCTGATGTCTGATATTTTATCCCAAACTTCAAACTAGTAAACCGAGGGTCGGACTTAGTAGTCTATATCCCGAACGCAAACGTTTCCGCGAAGCCTTCTTGCAGTGGCAAATCCACTGCTTGGAAATACCGCTGCTCCTGCTCCCTCCAATCCGGATCTCGCGGACGCTTAGCGGGTGAGCCCCCCCCGTGTATCATGGAGCCTACGTATCGCTGGGCTACCCTTCTCGTTTTCAACCCCACTAACTCCATAAGGGCTTCCACTGCCGTCCCCGCGCGGGACTGGCTGACGGCTCCTCCTACCCTAAAGGAGTGCATAGTATACAGGCCGTGGTGGTCGTTCAACCGGCCGTCCCGCATATGACACTGCAGAGCCGCTGTCATGCGAGCTGCGCTCCACTGGGATGTCCCCCTCGAGCCGTCTCCCTGGATCTCGGGAAACAAGTACCCCTCACGCATATTCCAACCCACGGACTTCGCGACGATGAAAAATTCTTGTACCGCCCGGACTGGACACAGTTCGTTACACTTCTTATCCCTTTTAGCAACGACTGCGTGTGACGAGCTGCGGAGCGTCTTGCCAAAGTGAAAGTTGAAAATCATCCCTTGGCCTTCGGGGAGGCGCAACACCTGTGCTGCTAATGCGCATGCCAAATCGAATCCCCGCTGCATCGTGTGGAAGGCGACTACAAACGCCGCAACGTCTCTACTGCGAGCCACTCGCTCCCCCACGGTTTGTAGCTGATCTGCTGTGTTGCGCATGTGCCGCAGAAGTAGCGGGGCCAACATGGGCCTAGCTTGTTTGACGGTAACTCCCGCCCGGCGCTGCTCGGTCTGGGCGTACGAGAGGTACCGACGAACGGCCGCGCTATCGGCCGCATTACCTCGCTTCTCCCTCTCGTCCCACGGATCAGACTTTCCCAATATCTCGACCATGGCTCTCTTGAGTTTCGTGATGAATCCTTTGCTCAATGTTTGGGCCGCGTATCTCTTCTCACACGTACTTCCCGCGCTACAGGAGTCTAACGAATTTGACCCGATGGCGACACAATCGACTGCGTGAACCACCTTCGTGCCGTTACCGTGAGAATCCAACCAACACAACCAGTCATGTACGTCTGCGTCGGTGGCGCTCTCCCACCCCCGGCTCCCTGCTGTGTGCGCTCTCAAAAACGCGTCGAACTTATCCGCGACGGCGGATTTCCGGCGTTGCCCGGCTGTATTCGCGGAAGCGACCTGGACGGCTTCTTTCCGTGCCGCCAGTCGACCGGCGTCGATGACCACGGTTGCCCCGGGAACACGCGGCTCTAAAAGCCCCCGAAACGGCTGTACCCCGCAATATTGACAAAAGTTGAATGTCGCTTCGTTTTGTGCCCCACACGCATTACACAAGACTTGTGTACCCGGTCCGGAGCGCGCGTGGCCCCGGGAGGGATGCGCTCTAGCGCCCCCTGGTCATAGTGCTGATGACGTACGAACGAAACGAACGATAACAAGGAAGCACCACCTGTCAACTCTCATACGGTATCGTTTCAATAATGACGAAAATCCAATTCTACCGCGCGCATTCCGTGTCGAACGTAAACGTATTCGCGAAGACCGTCCTGATGGTGGGGATATCCAAAACTCCCCCGTCTCGGCACCACAAGCGATTTGACAGTAGCTCGCCCAACCCGCGGTAGCCAATAATCGTGTACATCCGGTATCACGATTACGGCGTGGGCCCGGCATTCGGCGAGATGCTGGATAACGTGACCCACCATGACCGGAGGTGGAAAGCAGTACCCAAACGCCGGCGTGCCCAACCCCGGTGTGACCGCCACATCCTGACGTAAAACATCTACACCCGCCGTTCCTTCGCACGAGTACCGCGAGAAATATGGTGTCGGCACCTTGCCCCTGTGCCACGCTCGACCTCATACTGGGCATTCTCGGAGGACGCCATGAGGTCTACCGTGAAGTCGCCAAAAAACTGGCGCAACCTCTCAAACGCTGTCGGCCGGAGGCAGACGATCTCTTTCCTCCCCGGCCGCGTAATGCTATCAGCGACTGCGTTCTCTGCTGATGGCACCCACCTCAGGGTGAGCCAGAAACCGTGTGCGACTTGCAACTCGAAGAGACTAACCAGCATCGCATGCGTAACTGAGTTGCTCGACCGCCCTTTCCGAAACGCATCAACGGTAGCTCTATTATCGACGTCCATCAGCACCTGGGCCCGCCTGAGCTCCCCCGACCGTTCGCGACAGCACTCCTTCAATACTTCGAGCAACGCCAACATTTCTTTGCCGTTAATGGGGCGCGACAACCATTCCGGGGGAAAACCCCCTCCTGCCGAAAAACGACCACTGGGCAGCGACACGACGCCGCCATACTGATTAGACGACGCGTCCGACGACGCTGTCGTGGTAGAAACGTCGTAGTGTCGCGATTTATACCACGGCCCCTCCTGCGACGTGGACGACAGGTTAAGCCATACACGCAGCTCCGCGCGGAGATCATGCTTATCTTTCAACTGAACCACGCGGCTTTTCGCCTTCTTAATCGCTGCAAACATGTAGTGCGTCCAGAGAGACGCTGGCCGAATCGCCACCGACATGCTGACGCATTTCCCCCCGATCTTCTCCAACATTCGTACCGATACCGATCCGTCCGCGAGCACTTTGCTGATGAGGGCATGAAGCTTGTGCAGCTTATCTTCCGGAATCCGATAGGAAGTGGTACGTGAATCGCATATGATGCCCAGGTACCGCTGCTGCTGCGACGGATAGAGATCACACTTTTTGATCGAATACCCTCATGTTGCGTAAGAGATCTTTCCGTGCACAATGCGGCAATGTTTCAACGAACTGGCCGTGTTGCCCTTCGTAAATGAGCCAATGGCCACGGCTGCCCGGCCCGTAAATAACCAACATTTCGCCAAATATCCCTTCACAATGAATTTGCGAAATGTTGTAACACGAAATCAGGTGCAATTGCGAGCGACAAAGAACGGTACCCAGAGCGATCCCACAGTAATACGTGTGCAATTTCGAGCGACAAGGAACGTGCTTCCTTTCACAATTACTTTCCGAAGTATTGTGACACGAAATTATGCGCAACAACGCCCAACACGTACAGACGCAATTACGTTACCACACGAGTACATGCACAATGTCGAGCGATTACGAGCGGCGAAGAACGGTGCTCAAAACTATCCCAGAGGAAAACGCCAAATATAAGTGTGCAATTTCGAGCGACAAGGAACGTGCTTCCTTTCACAATTAATTTCCACACACATGAATACGTCTACAATTTCGAGCGACAGGGAACGTGCTTCCTTGCACCATGAATTGCCAGATTATTGTGACATGAGATCAGGTGCAATTACGAGCGGTGAGGAACGGTGCTCAGAACTATCCCAGAGCAAGTTCGAGTGACAGGAACGTGTTTCCTTCCACAATTAGTTCCGAATTATTGTAACCCGAAAACAGGTGCAATTGCAAGCGGCTTGCGAGTGTCGTTATCAGCGCTGGCGCTCACCTCCGGATTACCGTGCGACGATTCGAGGAGAGTCATGTATTCCCCGTCCGCCGCCTTCGTGACATTGTGGTTCAGGACTTTCTGCTGTTGCAGCGTCGTAGAGACCGAGTTCGAGGCGGCTGCAGCGGCCGCGGCCGGCGCTGATACGGATCCCGGTTTGTCCGCAGGGGCGGGTGCAGGGGCGGGTGCAGCGGCCGCTCCTGCTGCAGAACTGGTGCTGCTGTCGTCGTAGCAGACGCGGCGGGTGCCGGTGCCGAAGCCGGCGTTGGCTCCGATGCGGCCGATCCACCTCCCCGCGCAGGTGCCTTGCCTGACGAAGACGCGGCTGGTAGCACAAGACATCCTGCCGTCTCCTTCACATGTTCACGCAACAGATCGATGATCTCTCCCATGAACGCCCGAGCCCCGATCACCTGCTTGGCCGCCAGCGAGCCCGTCGCCCCTTTCTCCTGAGCTTCCGCGCTGCGATAAATGTCCGTCACCTCCGTAGATATAGCGACTCCCAGTGCGGTTACCAGAGGAAGGGCCATGGCAAACATTCCGACGCGGTCCATGGTCTCGATAGAGGCACCACCGTGTTGGCATACTCGCGAGAGGGCAACAGTCGGCAACGAGCCGAGCGTGGCGCTGCTGTCGTAGCAAACGAACTCCTTCACCGCCTTCCCTGAGTCCACGACCGTGGCCGCGGCCACCTGAGCTTCGGTTAGCTGCATGGTAGTATGCTGTTCTTCCTACCGTACTTCCTCGTTAGGGTTGGGAAGGCTTGTCACGAGTGGGTGCTCTCTCCAAGCTTCTCTGCAGTCAGTCTGTTCTCATCTGCAGAACCCTTTCGCGGTTCCATGATTTCGACATTAATTTACCCAAAAGGAACAATGGTGACACCACAACGCATTAATTTTCACTTTGTAGCGGTGTAACAAATGTTGTGCATATTATAGTATAGTAGTGCCCTGGCAAGTTGCTGACAGAGGGCAGAACACACCGCGGCTGAAACTTAGAACATGCTGGATTGGATGCAGCACTGGCAAGTTGCTGATAGAGGTCAGAACACACTAGCTGAAACTTGGAACATGCTGGCTTGGAATACACGCAGCACAGTTCTGGCCGAAATGTTTTCCAACAGTCAGAGGATACACGGCCCAGAGTCGGCACAACAGGCCGACTTGTCACGGAGGCAAGGGTGTGCATGCATTAGCGTGTCCACCGCATACAAATAAAAAGGCAGCAGGCGCCCAAACA